TAGCCTTGAAAGAGCATTGTTTCATATTTTCCCTATGTCTAAAATGATGGATGGAATATCATCATGGGGCCAAAATCCAGCTAAACAAAAAAGAGGATAAAATTAAACATGTGCTTAAAAAATTTGAACATATGATGGGAGAGTATGTCACTTCCTCCTGTGTGATCTTTGGCTGGTTGCCTGCCTGCTTCATACTTGCAAATCCTTATAGCCAATGAATGATAAAGTTGTCTGTGTTCCAACCACAATTTAAATGTTGTTAGTTGCAATGTACACAGAGAGCTGGTGACAGCAGGTCAGTCATTATATCTGACCACTTGAAAGTGAATAAGCCGTATTTGCTAAGACTTTACAAGACCTTTAGAAATAAGAGAGGAAGATAAAAGCAAGAATCATTTACAATATAAGCTATCAAGTCAGTGCAAACAAGGATCCCAGTACGCAGATAAGTACAAATGTTTGTTCTGAGCACCATGTACTTTTAAATTCAGGCACTGTCTCAAAATAACAGAAGTGGCAGGCAGCCTGCTGATTCTTAAATAGCAATAAATGTGGAATAGTGCAACAAGAATGCATTCTATGTCACTCCTTCCAAATAAATCTAAGCAACTTACAAGTCCTATATTGGATCCTCATCATCATATTGAATAAGACTAATAAAAGCACACACCCAAGCTGAAAATGTAAAGACCCACAATAAAATCTTTACTACACAATGCCTGTAATTCATTTCCCCTCCTCCCCCCCATCAAGAGGAAGAGAACTGCTTTCATCTTGGGGATACGTGATGCCAACAGAAGAACCTAACAGGAAATTCTCACTTTGGAGCACCACAACATCTCATGAGGGTTAGAGACTTTTAGGATATAATACAACCTCTATACACAAATCTTGGACAAAATATTCCATTTGGAGGAGGCAGTCCCATACATAATCAGTTCCCAAGCCATTTAGGGGATCAATCTATTCCCTAAATTTACTTCATTTGAAAATTTAAAAATAACAAAATGTAAAAAGAAAGTTTAAAAGGTAAAAAGAGAGCCCCTCTTTGAGGGAGATGGGCAGTTTAGAAATATGAAATATAAATAAATAAATTAATTTAAAAAAAAATCCTGGCATTGTCATGGACCCAACCATATTTTGGAGAGGCAACATGGCAGAAATGGGTTGCCAATGATGAATTTTCTGATGTTTTTAAACTTCTCGTTCTAGACTACAGCCCTAGGTTTCTCTGATTAGTGATAATACTCAGCTTCTGAACATAGAAATGGTCAGTAGATGTGCATGAAATAATACATATGCCCCATTAGATGAAGATGTATCGTTTCTATAACTAATGAGAGTGGGCTATGAAAAACACAAAAAAACATTTGTGAAAAAATACAAAGAACATTATTTTAGCAAGGGCATTTAGCTCACATATTTTGTTTTCAAAAAGAAATATCTGTTTTCTGAATTATGAGTCTGAATTATGAGAATAGAGCCTTTGAAGAATTCTCCTGTAAATAAAGCAAATTATACCACTCTAATCACAGACTAAAATCTAGCATGACTGAAGAGGTACTCTAAATCATCCTTTACCTGCCTGTCATAATTATTTATTAATTAATTTTGTGGAAGCATTAAAATATGATTCCCTACTTGCAATATAGCATGGCACATTCCACTCAGTCATACTGCAATAATCCACAAGAACCCAAAATGACTACATGCCACCATTACATACTTATGTTGCAATACCAGATGAAAGTACATAAATTGCAGCCTTTATATCATGACATTGTGCACATTTTATCTGTTATTTCCTGGCAGATGTCCACGTTTTCACTTCCACTCAACAAAGCAAGACCGCAGGAGATCCTAGGCCGGGAAAAATGCAAAAAATGTGTTTCCTGAAGCTCTAGTACTCACATACGCTACTAGGCTTTGGGCATTTGGGGATTATAGGGAAAAATTACTTGTGCTTCTTTCCTATTTAAATAAATTCATACATATTTGTATACCTGAAGAACAATTTTCCTTCTTAGGAATTTTGAGAGGAATATTTTCAAGGAGAAATAATAACTTTTAATTCCTATTTACATTGCTTGTTTGCCATGCTGGAGGCTCTAGCTGCACTGGAAATGAACAATATTCTGGGGGATTATGTGACACAGAGGCACCGAATATTGGATCTCCTTTTGCTTCCTCTGATTTTCCTACATGGGGGAAGTGTTAAGAAAAGATCCTTTTGCTCTATGGGAGAGGAACCATACAGCAGATAAGAGCATTCAAGCAGTGCAATTTCCCCCCAATTATTTCTCATATATTTTGCTGAAACAGAATTTGCTTTTAAGGGGGAAAATCACATTGCTCCTTCAGTTTACTTACAGAGCAGCAAACATGTGTATACGAGCGATCTTTCTCTACAATAATTTTTCTAGCAGCTTGCATCTTTCCCGGTTCCCGTGCTTTGGTTAAGCTCCAAGGAGAAACCTTATAAGGAGCACCTCCCATAAAGTTTTAGGTGAGATGGGCAGGGTTATAAAAGAGAGGGGGAGAGGGAGGAAGAATTTTCTCAGATTGAAAAGTGTGTTTTGAAAGCTAAATAGAAAACCACAGTACTAGCAGTAGCTGTCTCTCTCATTTCCACCAAGTAACGAAGCTCAAAAACTCCACACTTAAAAGAAATTTTCAAGCATCTGAAAAGAGTGGAGAAAAAGAAATGTTTCTTTTGTAGGAAAAGTAAACTTGTAAAAAAACTGCCAGGCAGATTTGAGCACGACATTACTGGAAACACCTTAGTCACTGAGCTGCTCTGAGACAACCCAGCCCGGGCTAACTATCTGTCATGGGTATCATTTCTTTTCACCTCCAGAGAAGAAGAGAAGAGGCAACACCACCTAGCTCAGGGGTAGGCAACCCCGATGACTCTCATACACAGGAATGTTGGGATAGAAGCATATGAATATTTATTTTACGTATTAATAAAATTTATGTGGAGCTTGTATGAAGTTATGAAATTTCCATGAGATAAATTTATTATCACAAGAAGTATTTTTAGTTGATGATGAATCAGTACAACAAAATGAAGATCCCTGCACTCTATAACGCAACCAAGTGAACTGGGAAAATATTTTGGGGCAAAATATAATAACATAATTTTGTCAAGTGAATTTCATAGATCTGGGTAACAATTGTTGCAATTAGCTGAGGACAGAAACGATATGCAGACCTATTAGTATAAACAAAAAACTCTCCCCGATACCACATTCCAAAATCAGGGAAACTTCTGTTGCACATTTGCACTAGTAGTCTTATATTGGATCATGCCATATATTCTTCTGGTTTCACCTTTCCAAATATGCAGCCCATATGCTTAATAAACACACCCAAGTCTGAAGCAGAGGGACTCTGGAGACTTTTTAAATCATGACATTTTTCACAAGGCTGCTGCCAGTTTACTGTTCCTTATTTTCTCAGATACCCAATGTACTTACAGTGTCACTGTCAAGTTTGAACTGCACAAGTTTATCAATCTTTTGAAACTAAGTGGAAACAGATATTTTAAACACATTCCTTAATCTGACTCATACCAGGCAAGTTTCCTAATGGTACAGTAGATAATCAATATTGTTGCCAGTTGATTTATATTGCCTGTCAAGGAGAAGTAATTTTATGCTTTCAGGTGAAACCTGTTTGCAGAAACTCTTGACCAAGCACATGCCTCCAATCCACATAGCAGCTCTTATACACACCTTTTGTGGTTATGGCATCAGTTTCTTTCATACATGCTCATTTCCAAGGTCCATGGGGCATATTAATTTATATGCAGTGCTGCAGTCCAAAACTGAACAGCACATTATTCTTACCAGCTGCAAAGCCCTTCATTTTCTACCAATAGTTTACAATGGTATGCAGCTGGCCTATAAAATATTATTCATGGTGAAGCACCTTTTATACAGCATGGATCAAGCTGTACAAAGCTGCATTTGATCTGACTTTGACATGTGAACTGGTTTATACAGGTTGAGCTGATCTTTGGGGTATATACCAGGAGACACTTTAGAATACGTCCATAGAATGTTCTATAAGAAAGCAACTTGTTAAGTTTGAAATGCTGGTTTTCAGAAGTTTAGCAGGACATGAATGAGAATTGAATGAAAGAATATTCAGATCAGACCATAAAAAAGCTTTCTTTATCAAGTTCTTTAGAACCGTGCTACTGTATTATTGCTACTCATGATACTTGAAAAACTTTCATCATGTAGAATTTTGTGATCAGTAATCACTTCTGTGTTTATTATGTTGCAAATGTGTAATCTATGCAAGGTCTGCACTTTTATATTTGTATACAGATAGACAGGTAATTCATTGCAACATTTTCAGTGTCTAAGAATATATTTATGATGTTAATAAGGTCAATCTGAAAGTGTAAGAGAGGGCAGTTTAGTCGAATGCAGCCTAGAGACTTTCATTAAAGTTGAGCAGAATATTCAATGATCACATCCAAGGCAAGTTTCTGTTTCCCCCTTACTCTTCTCATCATTGTGATCTGTAATCAATACCATTTTTTATATCTCCCAACAGATTAAAGACATCTGTATAAAACTGTGTTCAACAAAGGACAAAAACCTTGGCCAAAGGATTTTGAATACAGCATATTACAAAACTGATGTAATATGTCAGGACAGGCATAATTTCAGACTGTTCCATTTAACTAGTTTGTCCTAGTGAGATAGCAGCAATGCATGTTCAATATTAATTACATGTTCTTCATCAGAAAGCAACACAGTTTGTTTTTGCTTTGCCTAATCAAAACATTAGTTTCACATAAAAACAATATCCTAAAGATATTTTGCACAAGTTGTTGGATATGCAAGGATGCAAGGATAAAATCAAGCTGGTTCCATAGTCCCACCTGGGAAATTCTATACAAGCTTGCTCTACAATTACAGTTTATCTTCTTCTAGCTTGCACTCTAACCGGGGGTTAATGATATTCAGAATTCTGTGACTTACTGTGAGATGTGAGTTATTGGAGTCAGCAACGTCTCCCCCTCCAGGTCAAGTTCATCAGCAAAGCTGTTTGTTCTAATAAACGGTCCTGCATGTGGCTCTAAAAATGGAGAATTCCTTTTAACTGCGGAAGAGAAACAGGCAAGTAAAGGTTATCTATACCTAAGGGCTACAAAACATTTTAAAAGCTGTAAAATGTTGAGAAATAAAGAGAAAATAACTAAAAGGCAGAATCAAAGGTAAGTTTATAATATGAAGAAAATGGTATCCCTGACTAGGTGCATACAAAGAAAAGGAGGACATGAGAGTTTTTAATTATTGTTTTGGTTCTGGAATTATGGCATAAATGTCTGTCCTTGTAAACCATTTTTTTTCTTTGATAATATAGAAAACATAACACTTTGAATTATTCCAATATTATACTTAAACTAGGGCAGTGGTTCTCAACTTGTGGGTCGGGACCCCATTTGGGGTCAAACGACCATTTCACGGGGGTCGCCAAACAACGCAGTCCGCCATTTTTTCCCCCTTTTCCTTAGCTGTGCTACTCCCTTTTATTCTATTGGCTTTTGAAAGCCAATAGAATAGACTCTCTTGAATAGAGTCTAATTCTATTGGCTTTCAAAAGCCAATAGGAATTGTCCAGGCTGTCTCTGCCCTGCTGAGCCCGCCAAAAGTCCCATTCTGCAAACGGTGCTGCACCAGTTGAGTAGTCCTCGACTTACAACCGGTTGAGTAGTCCTCGACTTACGGCCAGTTGGGGGTCGCGGCATTAAAAAGGTTGAGAACCACTGAACTAGGGGCTGTCTAATAGATTATATTATTGGATATGTCCAGTAACTTGTAATACAGAGCAAGATATATTGCTTTTAGATATAAGAACTCCATGTATTAAACAAAAGCAAAGAAATATAATGAACCTTAAAAGACATATAAAAGTATAAAAGTATTTTGCTTCAGCAATTATTGATATTAGCAGGCTTAACAAGTGGTATTTTATGACAAAAATAAAAGCATAACACTTAGAATTATTCCAATGTTATACTTAAACTAGGGGTTGTCTAATAGATTATATTATTGGATATGCCCAGTAACTTGTAATACTTTAGGAACAGAGCAAGATATGTATTTTCAAATGTTCTTAATAATAGCACTTTTTCTCCAAAATCTTATAAAGTTGAGGCATGTCCATATAATAAACATAGTGTCTAGGGCTTACAAAACTTTTTTTTTTGGGGGGGGGGGTCTACAAAAATATTTTAAATTAAAAACAATGAAAATATTAAAAGTAACAACAAAGTTAAAAATAATAGATTCCACCATTAGATATATTCAATATTTACTTTTTAATTTGCCTCTAAGTCAGTCATAACTCCTGAAAACTACATGGAAGAGTCCCTGAAGTTTTCTTGGCAATTTCTTTTCACAAGATGCTTGCCACCAACTTATTTCCTAGGGCTGAGAAAAATTATTTGTCCAAAATCAGCCAGCTCATTTCTGTCCGTAAATCAGAGTTCCCTACTCCAAATCCATTGCTTTAACCACTTACTGAAACTTTACTACTTACTGTGACTGATTCCCAATAAATTGCTGATGATCATAGGTCCCACTGCTATAACCCCCACTGTCTAGATTATTATCACAACGTGATAATATTTTGGGCCTATAAGGGTTTTAATGTGATCCTGAGCAGAGGTAAGCAGTCTTTTTTTCTATCAAGAGATATACTTTCTCAGAGGTAATCTGTCAGGAACGCATAGGTTGAAATATGCAATGCACAGAGCAATTTTGACTGTGCAAGATGATTTCCATTCCCGGGGGAAAATGCAAATTTCCCCTCAAACTGTACTAAATATGCCAACGTCCAGGTTCTGAATCAAGCAGTTTAAGAGAATAAAAGCAAAGAGTAGCTGAGTTTACCTGAAGAACTGGGAGATGGTTGCTCTGTGGAAAAGGATGTCCAGGAATGCTGTCGGTCTGAATAAACAGATGAAAAAGACAAGAGGGAGCGGACAGAAGAGGGAAACAGAGAAGGAGAAAGTGATCTAGGGCCTCAGTGATGGTATCAAAGAAAGCATTAAGAAAAAATTAAGAAAACAAGAAAGAAGTTTTTTAAATTATCATTTCAGTTAAAACAATGCTAGCAAGACACATGCATCAACTGTGTCATTTGTGCATTATACAAGTGGGATTTATTGCCAAATAAATATGCATAATCTTGCCCAGCATACTCTAATAAACAGTGCTACAACAATTGTAACATATATCAGGAACTGCCTTCCCCAAGGTAACCCTATTCCTCTGCAGTAGCTTTCATGTCTGACCCTCCTTGCATTTCATAAGGCTTTGACAACTGCTCTGTTCAAGCAGACCTTTGACCTTGGATGACTGAGAGGTGGTGGTTTTTTTTTTTTTTTACTGTTTGTAGCATGCTGATATATTTAGTTGTTTTTTTGTTTTTTTTTTTTTTGTACATCATCCAGAACAGGAATTACTGGGTTGGTCTACAAATGTTAACATTCAGGGTTCTTCTCATTTTTGAAGAAAATTCTTTCATTAATGGAATCCGTAGGGGATAATTCTCCCTCTGCATCCAGGCCCTCGTGTCTCCTTGTTGAGTTTTGGAACATATTGAGGAGCTGGAAAGGGAAAATGCGACTTTTGCTTCCTCGGATAACATTTTTGGTGCAAGAACACGGGATCCTTATCCACTGAATGAACATACTGAACTGACCTACCTCTGACTTACAATTATAGGAATGAGAAAGGAACTTATCATGTCATCTTAAAAATAAACTGTTTTCCAGCCAGGTACTTATTACCATGCCTGGTGGACATGCCCTATCGCTAAGAAATATTGGTCTAAGATCCATAGATGGTTGGAAAAGATGATGAAACTACAAATAGAATTTAAACCAGAATTGTTTTTGTTAGGAATATTAAGACCTAATTATGGCAAAGAGAATGACTACTTGATATTGCATGTTTTAACTGCTGCAAGGATAGTATTTGCCCAATTTTGGAAAAATGAGAATCTACCATCTGACCAGATTATTATTACCAAAATTTTAAAGTGTGCAGAAATAAATAGACTAACATTAGAAATGAAAGAAAAAGATGACTCAATTTATTTTAGAACTTGGGAAAAATTTTATCAATGGTTAGAGACACGTTAGAATTTGAAGGATTCAATATTTTAGAATAGTTGACTGATTTTTAATCGAGTTCTAACTAACATTTTGATGATACAATTACTTTTCCTTATTTACTGATTTTCATTTGTTACTTTTGATTGTTAGGATTTTTTTGAGATTTTATTAGTAGTGTTAATAGATCAACGTATTTGTTTACTAATTGTTTTTAATATGTTACAGTTTAAGCTTTGTTAAAAATGGTTGAATATGATATTTACTTATTATTATGATCCGGACGGTTGCTTGTTGGTTGAAATATGTGATTGTACCTATCCTTATTTTACCCTAATTCCTTATTTCCTTCCCCTCCCCCTTTCCTTCCACCCCTCCCTTTACCATACCTGTATTGTTCCTATTTTTCCTCACTTATATAAATTTAATAAAATTTTGTTCAAAAAAAAAAGCTGTTTTCCTCCTTTAATGGGTGAATTACAATAATAGGAAGATGGCAAGAGTTGCCAATTTTGCTTCCTGCACTTCATGCTAAGTTAAGAGGTAGCGAGAGTGTATGGAAACCACAGCAAGCAATGTTAAAATTCAGAATCCAGCATGCCATAGGTAAAGGTAGCTTCCTTAACTTACCAAGAAATTTTAACATGCCTGTTTCTCCTGTATACTTGTAAGAGTTTCAAGAGAACAGAAGACAGAGAGAAGGGGGGAGGGGGAGAAAAAGAATAGATGTCAGGAGGAAAGGAGATTTTTGTTCCAAAACTGGAGTCAGCATCTTGTCTTGTAAATGTTAGAAGTCCCAATTAAAGGTTAGTATCAGTTGTGCATAGAAAGAGAGCTTTAACACTTTTTGACTTGCATAAGCTATTGAGAAATCCAGAACTAGATGAGAACTTGTAACCTGACACATATTCAAATGTGCCATTTTTCATAGATAATTGTATTCTGCTCCATATTTTTAAAACTATTTTTAAAAACTTTAAGATATGTGGAGTTGAAGTTATTACAACTATAATATACATTTTAAGACTCAATAACGTGCCAATAACATTGTTTGGCCTGGTTTAAATTGTAGCTTCTTTTTTAATGCATGCAAATTGTATCTGGGTCTTTCCAATTTGATGGCCATTTTACTTCTTCTAGTAAACAAATAAATAACTGAAAGTCTTACCAGAATTTTCATAGGGATCCATAGGAAAAATATCAGCTTTCCTATCCTCCAACACATGGTCAAATGTGATTTGTGGAACAGGTAAAATCTTATCAGGAGAAAGTGATCCGTTATCCTTTTCTGCTTTGGTTTTCTTCTTTTTTACCTAACAAAAACAAGTATTTAAATATTATTTTAAAAAGCAAACTCCAATCCTTTAATATCTAGCTTTAATTCATCACCATAGGATAATTTCAAATTAGAAAAAAAAACCTAAAGAAATTACAATAACTATGTAGGCTAAAATTATACAATTTACTTCCATTTTCTTTAATATAGTGATACGATTCCAATCATCATAGACAAAATAAAGACTAAATAGTTGTAATCATTATCATTCAAAAGGTACATGTTTCAGCTTTACAATTGGCATTTATTATCATGGACCTTCACTGTGCAATTATTCAGAAAAGCTCTTTACATTAAGTAATCATAGTCATTAATCAAGTCTAAATGAGATGATGACTTGACTCACTATTCCTAATACCAGTGCTAAACTGTATATTGCATATTGCTTTCTGTTACATATTGTATTTCTGGAGGTAGGGTGGGCAAGTTTTTGCATGTGTGTATGTGCATGCGTTTCTCTCTGTGTGTACATATCTATCTCTATCTCATGTACATCTATATATCTATATATATCTCTGTATATATCTCTCTATATAAAATGTATATGCTAAATGTGATAAATGTTGAATGCACACAGACATACACACAAATATATTCTTGATCAATCCATCTATCCATCCGTCCATGTATCCATTATTATAACAAAATTAATGAGAAATTACTTGTTTACCCAGCTCAATATTATTTCTGAGAATGGCACTGAACTCTTGGATATCTGATGGGAGTTTCAGAAGTTATTCTGTGAAGTCATAATCACCTATTGAGGCACGTGAAGTACAGCATGCAGGGGCCTGATGAGCCCTTAGAATTCTATGATTGTCTGGAGGTAACATACACAGTTTCACAAATGTTACCAAAGACCTATAATGATTTACAGTTTGGTTCTTTGGTGCCTACTAGTTACTTTTTACTTTATTTTGAAGTGCTGTCTTTAATCCATCTTGGAGTATTTAGATACGCCTCTATCCTGTTTTCATTCTGGGAATTTTATTTTATTTTTTAAGAAGAAGAGCATAACAAATTTATTTAGGGACTCTTTCCCCTAAAAAATCCTAAATGGGAAATACTGATACTAAAGTAGAGCTAAAATCACACATATAAAGAAAATAGAATCACCTTTTTTGAACAGTTTTTTAAGGAAAAAACCTCACCTTGTACACAATTCCTCCCTACCAACTTAAGAGATGGGGAATTCTTTGCCAAGATAGAAAGCTTTTTTAAAAAACAAAAAAACCCAAAAACTATTTTCCTCTATCCTTGCCCACAGTGTGGGGTGGAAGAGACTTCATAAATTATGTGAAAGATCTCCTAAGTCTGTTGTAACTATGTAACTGTAACTGTAACTATGCATATAGTTAAAAAGTTACCAGATCCATTCCTTTGCATTGCCAGAAATATTCTACTGAAAATCTACTGGGATCTTGGAGTCCTAGTGGACAATCACTTAAATATGAGCCAGCAATGTGCTGCAGCTGCACAAAAAAGTCAACACAGTGCTAGGTTGCATTAATGGAGGGATAGAATCAAGATCACATGAAGTGTTAATATCATTTTATAATGCCTTGATAAGGCCACACTTGAAATACTGCATCCAGTTTTGGTCACCACAATGTAAAAAAGATGTTGAGATTCTAGAACAGTGATGGCGAACCTTTTAGAGACTGAGTGCCCCAAAACTGCCATCCCCCCAGCTTGCACCCGCTCCACCGGCCCACCTCCACCATGTTCTGCCCTCACCCCACCCGCCCTCAGGGCCATCCATAGCCTGCTGCAGATCGTCCAGGCGGTCTGCAGTGCTATGGTGGCCACACCCTCTGCCCATGCCTCATAGTATCATCTGCTGCCCTGCTGCCATGTGCTTGGCTGTGCTGCTCTGTGCGGGCTGCACCCGGGGGTGACTCTTCTCCGGGGGGGCTGCTGGTGAGGAGGGGATTGCGGGGGGAGGCAGGGCTGAGGTGATGGCATGTGTGTGTGCATGCCCACAGAGAGGGCTCCGAGTGCCGCCTCTGGCACTCGTGCCATAGGTTTGCCACCACTGCTCTAGAAAGAGTACAGAAAAGATGATCAGGGGACTGTAGGCTAAAACATATAAAGAACGGTTGCTGGAATTGGATATATTGAAAAGAAGGACTAGTGGTAACATGATAACAGTGTTCCAATATCTCAGTGGTTGACACAAAGAAGAGGGAATCAAGCTATTCTCCAAAGCACTCTGTTGTTCTATTCTGTTCTGTTCAATAATATGAGATAGTTTCTCTCAAACGGGAATCTGCATATAAGGCAATCCATAGGAGAAGCCCAAAGGAAGCGAAATTTCCTCATATGTTTCTATATTCCTGTGATGTATATTCTACTGAATATACTTCAAGATTCTGGCTGAAATACAAATGTCCTTAGATGGTATTCAGATGTAGACTATACCTACATTTACTAGACTCAGGGCACTTCCATGAAGGTAAAATATTTCAGGAGGAATATTGTATCCATATTCAAGCCATATTCCAAAACATTGTAAAATAATAGTTTGCCATTGTTACCCTTTTAAATTTCCCCCAGTTTCACTAACTGCATATGCTTGATGCAGATTCTCCTAAAGAAAATCTTTTGAAGAATAACATTGCCCCGCCCCATGCGCCCCCCCCCAGTTCTGCTGGTCACCGAAACAAGAGAGCTTTTTATGTATTTTGAAGCACTGAACAAAGAAGGGGACCACAAAAGACAACACAACTCCCCATAATTTTATAAAAGTGTCATGTCAGGTAGGCAGACCAGCCTCTCAATTCAAGACTGCAACCCTACATGAAAAATAACATCTTCTGCATGGATGCTTTATTTTCGAAAGACTCTGGTCAAAATATTCATCAAGGCTACATACCAGAATACCTATTTAATGGGAAAGAACTTCATTTCCACCAGCTTTAAATGTTAAGTTATTCAATCAAAAATGTCAAATGAAATTAAAAAAGTATTCCTTACCGACACCATCCCTATTTTCTTTGGCTTGGGACTAGGAGACAACAAGTGATAACTTCTGGATGGTTTTTTAATATATATTTTCCATGTGGAAGAATCTGGGTTTTCCGATGCATAGCACCTCCAGGCTGTCTAAAATATTTGTTAGAAACACACAAAAGATGAAATTATCAAGAAAACAGACATGCATCTCTCAGGCTGCATGAATTTATCTAAACTAGGATATACTTTTGTATTGATAAAGTATACCCTAAGTCAGGAATTGTAGAAATTTCAAAACAGGGGCAGAAAGGTGGAGGGATAAAGGAAAAAAAATACATGCCAGTTATGAAGCAAATCAAACCTAATTCAGAATGAGTTGAGAGTTCAAATAAGTTACTGAGCATCCTTCACAGTTACTGTAGTTATTTAACTGATCCATTTTTTTTAAAAAAAAAATACAATTATGACTCAAAGCCTCATATTGCTTCGTTCTGTAGTAGGTGCAAATGAAAACTGGATGAAAACTGAAAAATCATCAGCCCTGTTTCATTACTGGAAAAATAATAACAATCTTTCTGACAACTTTTGATAAAATAACACCAAATCTACCCTTTTAACAGTTGTAATATATGTAAGAAAACTAGTATTTAAGCATGAAGGCACCTGAATAAGAGAAGCAGCTGCTGGAATTTGTCGGTTGAAATGCTTTTGTCTCTGTTTCTGTTGTACCTTCAGAGCAAAACCAGAACCAAGGATTCCCTGAGGAACAGAGGAAATTAGCAGAATAAACCAATCAGTCAATTACATAAATACAATTTCAAATGTGAGGTTTGTGGTAAATTCAGCTACCATGGAATTTGGAGCAAAGATATTAATGAATTTGGGCCCTTTTATTGACAGCTGCATCATCTCTGAAATATCCAATTAGCTCTACCTGAGGTGGAATATTTGTAGTATTTTATTCTCTCTAGCATTTGCACACTTAAGAATTGTACTGAGCAACTGTTGCATAAGGTAAACTCATAGCATAAAAAGTAGGTCTTATTCTTGTTGTTTGTAATATATTTTACATATATGAGTATTAACGTATTTAAGTAGTAAAGCCATGACATTCTGGGGTTGGTAGAAAAATGAACACATAAATGACAGGATCTTTTGAATTGGTTTTGGCAGTGCTTTGAATTGTTATTGCTGCAAAATGGCAACAAAACAGTGCAATTGTTGTTGCTGCTGCTGCTGCTAACATATTTTCTTGATTACCCTGAGCTTCCCTTTTTGAACAAATTTTACTCAGAAAATCCACTCAAAATTCCCTCCCCTCAGGAATTAAATAAAGTGGGGGAGACTGTAGATCACTATATATTGAATAGTTCAAGGATTTTTCACCTATGTCTGATGATTAATTTTGTAAGAGCCTCACGTATTAAATGTTTTTCTTCCTTAAGAATTATCAAAAGCATATGTTGCCATCAAATTAAATGAAGACAGAAAAAACAATTGCAGAATCTATCTATCTCTACTCTATATTACAGTTAAGTATGTGTTTGTATATATGCATGTGTATGTGACAGCAATGGAATGCAAGATCGCAGGGCAATCACAGCATACTTAAATACATATCTAAGTATATCTTCCCAAATGCTCAGAGAACTTTGAAGTAATAATTGTAACATCATGTTTTACTGATATAATGTTTATTATTTTCTATATGTTTCCTGTTTTGAGGGGGTGTCTTCCTCTCTTTAACTCAAGTAAGCTGTCCAGAGTTATTTTGGAGTTGGGTGAGAAACTAAATCTAAATCAGTATTTTTCATTATTTTGTTTTTACAATTAATATTTTAGCTTTTGCCCTTATGGCAATCAATATAGCAATTTCTTACCTCTTGTAAGCTGTATTCAGTGCAATGTAAAATAAGTACATAAAATTAATGTATAGTTAAATTATATTACACAGGAGCTAATAAAAATCTATCCTATTATATGTATGTACAGTTAAAAAAAGTTTGGACTAATATAAACAACTTACTGCAGGCAAGGCAAAAAATGATATTGCAAATACAGAAAAGCAAGATGCAATGGTTTTTCCTATCCATGTTTGAGGCACTTTGTCTCCATAACCAATGGTTGTAACAGTCACCTGAAATTAAGAAATAAATAGGATTACAATGCAGTCATCTAGTTTTGTTAATATTTCAAATTATTTCTGAAGTATATATATTATAAACTATATTTGCATATTTCTATTATGCAATAGAAATTAAAAGTACTTACCATACGTTGAAAGATGCAATAGTATTTTTTTTTTCAAAAATGTCTTTTAGGATATTCTTATACATGCAAATTAACTAATAAGCTTATAAGATTCACAACAGCATATCTCCTGCTTCTCCAACCATTTTGCTTCTTAGAGCCCTTCTGCACTATAGGGCTGGACTACAGGGATAAAGTGGCTGAAATGAAAAAGGCTTACGAAATCCAGATTTCCAGATTTCAACCCCTTTATTCACTTTGGTCATAGTAATATCTAGATCAGTAATACCCCAGTCCTTAACTAATAGATTATTTTTTTTATTTAAACAGCTCCTAGACCAGAGAGAGGGAGGGTGGGAGGGAGGGAGGGAGGGAGGGAGGGAAGGAAGGAAGGAAGGAAGGAAGGAAGGAAGGAAGGAAGGAAGGAAGGAAGGAAGGAAGGAAGGAAGGAAAGACCACCTGAGTTTTACCCTCTTTCCTATTACATGGGCTGGAAGAGGCACATGGAACAAATCTGCTCAGTTTTAGCTCATTAAAAACATGAAAAACAAAAACATAAATTCACTTAAAAAATGTCCTGTGTGCCATCTTGAGTTATTTTTATAAATAACTCAAGATGGCACACATACCTAATTCTCTTTCCCCTATTTCTCCCAAAGTAAAAATCATGTGAGGTAGGTTGGGCTGAGAGAGAATATAACTGGCCCAACAACACCCAGATGGCCTAAAATGGGACTAGAACTCCAAAGAGGTCTTCCTGCCACAGAGCACAGTAATCAGATAGAATCGAGGTGTTTGCCTACAGAGTATGCAATCTGGAAATCACCACTTGCATCAGCTCAAGTGAGAAAACCCTATTTTTGCCTTAAAAGTTGCCTTCCTGATAGGCGGTTGGTGGTGAGAAGACAATGTCATGTATTCTGCCTTCAAGTAATGCTAAATGGCTGTACACATACTGGAGCAGGTTGGTCATGTCCATCAACTTCCATTAGTCTTTTAAAACCCTTCTTTCACAGTTCGTAGTTCAGAGGAATCTATCATACACAACTCCATGTATAGATATCTAGCTTTTAGTGTTCCACATTCAAGGAAGTTTGGAAAGCTGAATTGCCACTTTCTATAACAGAATTCAGAACATGCTTCCAGTACATGTTCAGTACAAATGAAAGCCTCCATACAATCATATTTCAACATCATAATAATGTGGTTTTAATAATATGTGAACAAGCCTACCTACTTCCTGGGCTTATGCATTCCATCTTTTCCTCCTATGTGATCCACAGAAAGTATCTGGAAGCTATTATTTCCTCAGGCTTATAACAGATCATCTTTAAATTGTGGTTTGGTTTTATAAAAAGTAACTGCAATTTATAAATCTGATGATCTGGGTCGCGATGGTTAACAAAAAGCAGAAGGAAACATACCAGAATGATTCCTCCTAGATGGGCAGAAACAGGGAGAATGGAAACCTGCAAACTAAGTGGAGTGTGCATAGGACAGATTCACAAGGCTGTTCAATAGCTAAACAAAGCCAATATCCCTCCCCTTAAAAATTATTAATTTCCAATATTTATGGGCTACCATAATATAAAACTCTAGATGTTCACCAGATATAAAAATACTTGTAGTTGTAATTATACTTATGCTAATACTAACCAAGTTCACATTTCCAGGCCTTATCATGATTTTTCCTCATGTAGTGTTCTGTATTCATATTTCATTCTCATTTTTATCTTTCTTCTGCATTAGCACTGTAAATTTATGATAAGGCATTCATTTATTATTATGCTACCAAGCAGCATAAAACTCTAGGGAGACAGATTTATGTCCTCCTACGATACAGTGCAGCATAAAGAAGCAAAAGGTTTTTCAGCCAAATGGCCACATAAAAACTAATTTCTTGATTCCTATCCCAGTCCTCTTAACGTTTCCCTAAAATAGCTCACCATTCCATCTCAATAAACTCTTTTAGATTTCCAGGCCAAGTATAGTAAACAAAATAAGTAACCCAACTAATCAAAGTTGGGTGCTGGTATCTAATTTGTACATTAAAATGTTTAGACAGCTGTTATGTCAGTTATTTGTATACCCCCACAACCTCATGCGTCTGTGGGGTAAGAAAGAAACCTATCATTACACTGTCACAAATGGGAGAACCTTAATTTAGGGGAAAGAAAAGTGCATAGGAAATGAAATTAGAAAAGAGCTCATGTTAACATACTGTAAATTCAAAGCATTAATTGAAGCCTTCATGACTTGGAAAACTTTACAATGCATGAAGTTTCAGGGCATCCAGCCCAAAGTCTACTCTTCTCTATAGAAAAAACTGTGCCAGCTCCAATCCAATCATTCTGGGTTTATTTTACTGTATGGAAAGATCTGTATACAAAGGAATCCCAGTCCAGGTGAAAAATGCTGCAGGGAAGATTTATGTAATAACAGAAAAAGTAGTCAAACAAGCTAGGGATAGAACCATCACTGGTGTAGGTGATGTAAATGAATTTAATGACTGAAATAATTCTTTAAATTGGTTCAAACGTTTATTTGCAATACTCAGGATGTTTATGGCAGGACGTAACAAATTTGTGAGAAAATATTTTCAAAATGTTCATTTGAACATGCACTGGAATATTGTTTAAATGTGTACTGTCGTGGAAAATATTTTTAACACTGCAGATTAAAGTACAAAAAAAGACAGAACAAATATACAAATAAGGTTCCCCTGATCTTTTATTCGTACATCAACCATCTTGTGATAAAAATGAGTAATTTAGAGGATTATCTCTCAAAATTATCTAATGGGCATTTTGCAGCCTTATCATATGCAGATGACATAGTGACAATATCAATTGGGCTAAAATGAACTCTGAGGACTTAGATGCTTACTATTCTGAAGAAGAACTTGAGATCAATTGTAATAAAAACAAAATCTTAATTTCTGCAAAGTGATCTAGACAGCATACCTATTGGTTACAGAAAATACAGTTCTTTAAACATTTGGCCATGGTCTTTCATCAATTTATACCAAATGCAGTATAGTTATAGTTATACTATTTTCCACTTCACCGGAATGGTACAGCATAGACCAGCACCATTAAAGATTTATTTGGCTATTGCTGTACCATACTGTATATACTGCATACAGCTTCTGTTTGATGCTCACTTGGGGCCATCCTCTAGAAAGGATTGAGTCCACCTTTTTTAGGGCTATATTTCAAATATGTGACTAACACGGGGCAAAGGACGGAGACAGGTTTGAAGTACAGATGGGCACATTGTTTGTACTGCTGCCCATAGGTTAAAGTTACTGTATTTTTCAGAATATTTGCAGACTTGGTTTATTGTAGACAATTATACCTCAACATGGAAAAGAACACTCCTTCAAAAATTGCAACACTACGGACTTTCCAGAGAGGTCATTCTATTTATGGGTACTAACTGCACTTAACGTAACATGTTAGAAAGTCAAACTGGATTAATCTACTCTACCCAGAAAGTGTTCCTGAGTAGCCATGCCCCCTTTTTAAGGCTAGCCAGATACCAAAATCAAATAACTGACTCTAAATTTCAAAAAGCAATAACATTTGCACATTTTAATATTTTCCTGATAGCTTTCTCAACAAATACAAATTAAGATAATCTTTTGGAGAGAATTTATTATATCCATACATCACATTCTTTTATACTGCTTACTCCATAAGGAAGAAGGTCCTGCTTTATAACTCAAATTCTGGGCAAAGTACCCAGGCAATTCTGAACTATTTTATGTAGAATTAGTTTAACAGACCAGTCTAATATCATTTCCTTGAATATAACTACATCAGCAATAATTGTTGCTGTGATTGCCTCAGTTACTTGGCTATAATTTTATGTTGTGTTATTTTAGTCAAAATAGAAACTGATATTTAATTATTTGACTACATGTAGAATTCTGGTCATTGACTGTAATAAAAGTTATGTTGTTGATTATTCTTATAACATATCAAAGGAACCTCCAGTTCAGTCTTTTATTACTAACACTGTCCAGTTAAATGTCAGTTTGAGCATTTTTTTTAAAAAAAATAAAGTATCTAAGGGATGGATTCTTTCAAAACAGAAAAAAAAATCAGCCATTTTGTTTTCAATTAAAAACTTCAATAAGTGGAACTATTACAATACAAAGCTATCTGTTATCTGTCAAGTAGATCCAATATATATCTGCAATCGAGTTTTCTTTACAAAACAGAAGAGGTTTATATGTAAGAAGTTATTTATTCTCTTTACACATGTCTATGCTATTTCAAAACTGGAATTGTAACATACTAAAAGAGGAGGCAATGTTTGAATAGCTTTGTTTGATCAGCTGGATAGTTTTACAGCACTATTATGTACAGAACACTGTTCTTGCTTTCCCAGCAAGCTTAGGGCCAAGCATCTGGCAATAGTGAAACTTTGATGATATCACTGCCTCACAAAAGCTGGTTAGAGTTGAAAGTTACAAGAACACAAATCACAAAGAACAATGACAGCCCGAACAAAGCCTGACAAGAGAGAGGAGTGATTTGTAAACAAAAGAATGATGTTGTTTAATTAAAATGTTATGGTCTTGTTGATAGATGATCGCTGCTATTCAGGTATCTTCCTAAGTTGGGGTAACTAGAGATGTAGTTAATTAAATATTAACCAATTCACCAAAATCAGAGGCAGTCTGGTGCTATCACATTTTATTAAGAGGCATAAGCTTTCCTGAGCTGCACAGGGTGACTTGACTGATATAGGATGTTAATTGGGAGGAGGTGGGTAGGACACGGAAAGGGCAGGTTGCACGAGGCAGATTACAAATACTTTATCAATTAACAATTGTAATGTGTTAAAAACCCTTGCAATTGTTGGGCATTTTTGAGATAGCCTGAAACCTTTTGACATATGTCAAACCTTTTAGCAATATCTCGGTGTAAAATGACTTATGGTCCACAGTATATCTGACCGCCTTTTGTATACCCTAAGACTTCTGACTTTTTTTGTAACAATTTTGGAATTTGGATTAAATGTGAGTGGTGGTCAATGGAAATATCTGCACTGACTACAATATTTGTGAGGCAAGAAAATGTAAACAAAGTTTGGAGACTACATAATGGATTTTACAATTATTCTAGGGCAGCTGAAATGGTATACAATCCACTAAAAAGTACATGCTAGCCATTACCCTTGTAGTACTAATTGTAAATCTTGTCCTTTTAAACATAAGCACTTTCAGGTCCTTAATATTTAAAGAAAAAACAGAAGCATATGAAGAATGAAGCATAATTTTTGCCCTAAGGTTTTGCTCAATTGGAGGTTTACTTATAGCAACTCAATTCACTAATCTGTTATAGTTATAACATATAAAAGAATACGTATGTAAATATATTAAACTGTATTAAAAATATTAAGGAGGATTCCAAATACATGTGTGAAAGATGAATATTACATTTTAATAAAGCTATATATGCAATACTAAAAATTCTGTTTCATTTATTAAAGAATTATATAGCCTTATTCACCCCTTTGTCATAATAACTCAAAACTAATGTTGGGCAGGAAATGTGTGTAACTCCTGAAACTTTCAGTGGCTGTGATCCTCTTTAGATCTTGCTTCAGAAGCCTCCACACAATTAGCAATTCCTTTCAGCACCGGCTTCTCCAAAAGGTTCAGTTAAAAATTTCTGCTTCTGGAAGTCATCCAAACTCTTAAGAAAGTGCTATTTAAATTTCATGCGCAATATCTTTTTTTTTTTTTTAAAGGAAGAGTTTCTCAAACCTGTAATTTTTACAGTTGAATGTTTTAGATGTTATGATTTTCACTAGTCTTTTCACATACAATATATATGCATTTAAAATGGTTTCTGGTTTCTGTATAAATGGAATTATTTATAATCTTCATCTGAGTAAGTTTCAACAGGAATTCAGGTTGTTTTTACTTCTGCCTATAATTTCTGTGGCACATTTGTTTTATCTGTTGATCTTTTAATTTGTGGTGTATTCAGATTGGATGCTTTTTAGACTGTATGTAGCATGGAGTTGTATTGATTTCACACATTTGGTTTTTCTTTTTTATATAAGCTGATTGTTTTCATTTTTACTGAGAAAAGCTTTGCAGCACCTAGAAAGCAACACTATGCCTTCTAAAAATATGTTTCTCTTAAACCCAAGAGCAGTGGAATTTTTTTTTTTTTGCATCTGCCGTTTTTAATTAAAAATCCACATGAGTCATGCTTCTAGAAACCCATACACTATAATACTATATAAAACCTTTACAAAGGACTGAAAACCTTTTAAAAAAGTAGGCCAATCAGCAATCTCATCGTATTCTCTATTTATATGTAACAACAAGGAAGTGAAAAGGGAAGGCATTTATAGACAGACAGGAACAAGGCCAAAATATTATCCATCAGTTTTTGAGCTGGCAGAAATATACTAAAACAAAATTTGCTGATCTTATTGCTGACTCCCCGTCTGCCACAATAATAAATCAAGCTGTCAGTACTATCCTTATTGTTTCAATGCAGGATAGGCTACGGAAAATGATAGGCAAATGTCCCTTTCTATCAAATATCACCTGCCGGCAGGAAAACAGTCATCAATCACTTTCCATAATATGGGGTGTAGCAGATGTAGATTAAAATAGATGAATGTTTGAAGCAGCTTGTTTTGACATCCGTCAAGTAGCAGCACTGTGCCTGTCACCTGTTAGACTATTTCTGACTATTTCTGAATATAGGTTTAGCACTGGTCTGAAGTAGCACTAAACCCATGTCTAAAAATAGCCTGGATGACAGTCACAGTTGTGGAGGAGGAATGTGGGTGAACTAGGAGCAAATGATCAATAAAGAACAAGCACTATCTTCAAGTAGTGCTGGAAAAGAATGGGTGTGCTGGTATTGAGTCTAATTCTGTGACATCAGAAAATAGCCCACAGAGCACAACTGTGTAGACAAAATGACACAATTCATCATCTTGGTACTAAAAATAGTAAAAGCTATAGCCATGTCAAGCGTCGTATTACAGAGGTGGGGAACGATGGCCCTTTTATGACTTGTGGACTTGAATTCCCAGAATTCCTGAACCATCCACTTCAATTCTGGGAGTTAAAGTCCACAAGTCATAAAAGAGCCATCATTCCCCACCTCTGTCAAATTAACAAAACCAGTGGAAAGCATTGTAAAACAGCAAGTACCAACACACTGCTGGCAGAATGTGGCTCTCCATCCTGATTTAAACCAACATTCTATGCAATACCAGACTAGCACTTTGTCAAAAAAGTTCAGTGTTTAAATAAACTGGACAAATGCTGTTTCAAAAGCACACTCACTTTGTGTTTATAAGGAGCCCACATTAAGACCTGATAAACACTTCAGCCATTATATATGGGAAAATGCTTCCACAGAAATCTGATATTTGGATTCTCCTGCAGCCCAAACCAAAATGTGAAAATGAGCCCACAGTATTCATATAAGAAACAATAGATAAGTGTATTACTTATCATTCTGTTCCTCGTTTATCAAGCAAATGGTATATAAATATATTAGTTATTTGGTAACTGGGTATGTTCATTAAACAAATCTAATTTGTGGGCACTGTCTGCTTGTGCAATTGAACAGAATGACAACTAGATGATGATTTGTGGGGTTCATCTAAGCCTGTATGATGCCAGCTGAAGGTTGTAGAACTGCCCTGAATGAAGACTGGATGAAAAAGAAATTACAGGGAATCAAAGGAAACAGTTCAGAATCTGTACACTAATCTACTTGTTCAGAACTCAAATCAGTAGTGATGTAACTCCAGTAAAGTGATATGAATTTTTCTGAGCCTTCAAATAGTGCTGGAGTCATGAATATTGCCTCTTTGTCATATTCTAGATAGAAGCCAACAAAAGTGCGTATAGTCCAGGCCATGGTTTTCCCAGTTGCAATGTATGGTTGTGAAAGTTGGTACCATAAGAAAGGCTGAGCGCCAAAGAATTGAGGCCTTTGAACTGTGGTGCTGGAGAAGACTCCTGCGAGTCCCTTGGACTGCAAGGTGTTCAAACCGGTCAGTCCTAGAGGAGATCAACCCCGACTGCTCTTTAGAAGGCCAGATCCTGAAGTTGAAACTCAAATACTTTGCCACCTAATGAGAAGGAAGGACTCACTGGAGAAGGGCCTAATGCTGGGAAAGATTGAGGGCAATAGAAGAAGGGGACGACAGAGAATGAGATGGCTGGATGGAGTCACTGAAGCAGTAGGTGAGAACTTAAATGGACTCCAGAAGATGGCAGAGGACAGGAAGACCCGGAGGAACGTTGTCCATGGGGTCGCGATGGGTCGGACACGACTTCACAATTAACAACAACAACAACAGATAGAAGTTAAAAGATTAGACTGGGGCTGACAGTGGGGCTCTTTTATGTTAATACAAATACTCAGTTTCACTTTCTCTACTTAGAAACCAGGAGATTGTGAGTTCTCGTCCCATCTTAGGTAGCAAGCTGGCTGGGTGACTTTGAGCCAGTGACTCTGTCTCAGCCGAACTCACCTCACAGGGTTGATGTTCTGGGGAAAATAGGAGGAGGAAGGAGCATTAGGTTTGTTGCCTCAAATTATTTATAAAAAACATAAAGGTGGGATATAAAAAGGTGAAGGTAAACAATTGTTGTGGAGGAAGCTTGCATGTCAGGATGCAGGCTCAGTCCCACTGCCCCTCTGAGATGTAACTCCTGGACAGATATAATCAGATGACCCCTGCCTCTACATCTTCTGGAGATAGCAAAGAGTTGGTTCTTTTAAAATAAAGGGGATAACTTTGCAAACAGCCATGAAAAATGCAGGAGGAGGGTATTCTCAAACTCTGGGAAAAGAATAGGCAGTTGTTCAAAGTATGGCAAATGAAGAACAGATGGACATTTCAACCTTACCTCTTAAGCAAGGCCTTAATCCATTAGTCTTACAGAATTTATGGAAAGAAAATTTAAGCAGCTCTTAGAAACCTCACCTTAACGGGTTTCTTATTTTTCACGACCAAATTAAGATTGCAGTTTTTCTCATTTAGTTTCTGAGATTCTATAATTTAAACTCTTCTTTCTGATTAATGAGGTGCTGCATGAGTTTTGCTTCCTTGGTCAAGCATCACCATTATGGCATTGACAATGAAACTTTCTATTTGAGTGTTCTGCCTGAACTCTCAACTGTTGCTAACCCTAAATGTGATTTGACAACTGTTTTTAATAATCCACAGTTAACATGAAAACTAAAATGTTTAATTTCAAGTAGCACAGTGTTTCTCAACCTTGACAATTTTAAGGCATATGGACTTCAACTCCCAGAATTCCACAGCCAGCATTGCTGGCTGTGGAATTCTGGGAGTTGAAGTCCACATGCCTTAAAATTGTCAAGGTTGAGAAACACTGAAAGTAGCACAATAAGCTCTAGTTGTAGAAACAAAACCTTCCCATTGAAACTAGTTTGGGTGATCCATCTGATACAGGGTTTAGGAATCTGCACTTTTCTATTCTAAGTTATTTGTGGCCTTAATAGAAGGAAGCAAAAACACCAAAACCTGAACCTGACTTGTCATGAAATTGTAGTTTAGACACAACTGTCTGAATAAGAACACAATGTACTTTTTCTTCCAATAATTTAGATAGTGACATATTTCCTATATTAAAAATATAGCATATCACGTTTGATACTTTCATACTTACTACTCCCCACCAAAGTGCATCAGCATAGCTGCTAAATTCATGCTCGCCAGAGTCATTCACAGCATCTTTTTCAGCCAAATACACGAAATATGAAGAAAAAATCAAGCCCAGAAACCCAATATACAGGGTGGTTATCAATTCCTAAAAGACGGAAAAGAACCAATTAGTGAATAATTAATCATACAGAGAATTCTGCTGTCTTCAGAAGCTATTTTGAAAAAATAATACCTGATGCTCACGTTCATACTTCAATAGACTTATTATATTTTCCAGTAATACTAATTGGGTAACATCCAGATAGAGGGAATTTTAAGTGCCAGAAAGCCTAATTCTGAAACAGCTCAATCTAAAAGACCTCATTATGAAAAAAAATCCTAATTTGTGCTGAAGGAAACCTAAATCTAAATTAATTTGTATCAATATTAGATGAAAATAATAAATTCTACATAATTTTAAAAGTTATCATCTTCATCTTGTTTAATGGCTTCAATCCATTCCTCGGATTGAAAGCAAAATGGTTGCTAAGCAAAATGGTCCTAGGTTAGCATGCAGAATAAATAGCATTTGGTGATTAAGACTAATTGTCAAAAGCATCATGTTAATAGGCATGGATGAATCTTGGATTTCAATAAACTATAATATTGAATCGTAACACATTTAACAACTAAAACTGACACTCAATTAAAGAACATTGTGTCAGTTTAATAATATGGGTGTTAATTCATTGATTAAATCGGCATGTGCATAAAACAAAACTTCTGATACGAAAAGCATATATCTTTTATTCAAGGTATACATAAGTCACAGCATGTTATGCGAGACAGAAGTAGAAATTACTTTAAAGTCAGATCTAGTCATTGGGAGGGCTTTGAAATATTTTTTTAACAATATAGGAACTGCTTCCTGATTTATCAAAACGCTTTTTAGTAAAACTTCTTTGGCAAAGTGTTTTGCATTTCCAAATGATTGTATCCAATATGTACATAGAAATTATTTTAATAATGTAATCTCAGACCTATCATCCACTGGGAGTTTCAGGAAAAATATGTTTCCATATATTCCATCTTTCTATAAACTACTAGACTGACTACATTCTGATGATTATTTCTAACTCATCAAACCAAGATATGCAAAAGATTATTGAATCTGCATGTAAACCTTTTGCTCCACCCTTTGCCACAACCTCAATTAGACAAGAAACCCCTAATTTTCCAGTTTCCATTCATTCCAGATTGGGAAAATATAACTATCAGTTTCAAATATGTTCAGAGTATTAATGGCCAAACCACATGTCATTTCTTATTCTAGAGTAAACATAGTTAATCCAACTGGAAACCTTAAGGAAGCAGGCTGTGACTCTAGTTCTTTGTCCCATATTTTTAACTCTAATCCAGCGGTGTCAAACTGCCAGCCCATGGGCCGGTTTCATTATATGGAGGCTGCACCCACCCCAGCTCCGGCAATGCAAAAAAAGTCACGATACGTTGTGACACGTCACGTGATATGGTGAGTTTGACACCCCTGCTCTAACCCAACCGGAAAACTTAATGAATTGGGTGTAACTCTAATTCTTTGCTCCATAGTAAGTTCATGAGCTAGATCAGTGTTTCCCAAACTTGACAATTTTAAGGCATGTGGACTTCAACTCCCAGAATTCCACAGCCAGTGTTGCTGGCTGTGGAATTCTGGGAGTTGAAGTCCTCATGCCTTAAAATTGTCAAGTTTGGGAAACACTGATCTAGATCAATCCTTTCATACTTCAATTGACACAGTCAAGAAGGGAACTATTGTTTGGGCAAATCAAATGACAGGAACAGTTAATCCAACTTGTTTTGGGACTACAGTTTTAAATGTTCCTTTTCCAAACACTACTAATCTAAATCACACACACAAAAAACCATGCTGTGTTTCCTGTACAGGTAGTCCTCAACGTATTCCTGTCCTCAACAGTTCCTGTCATTAAGTGAGACATTTGTTAAGTGAGTTTTGCCCCAGTTTATGACCGTTCTTGTCTCAGTTATTAAGTGAGTCACTGCAATTGTTAAATTAGAAATACAGTTGTTAAGTGAATCTGGCTTCTCCATTGACTTCGTTTGTCAGATAGTCACAAAAGGAGATCACATGAACCCAGGACACTACAACCGTCATAAATATGAGGCAGTTGCCAAGCATCTGAATTTTGATCATGTGACCATGAGGATGTTGCAATGGTCGTAAGCATGAAAAATGGTCATAAGTTACTTTTTTCAGTGCCATAACTTTGAATGGTCACTAAATGAACTGTTGTAAATCGAGGACTACCTGTACAATGAAAACAAAATATACAGTTGCTGACTACCAGTCTATGCAGTGAACTGAGTAATTCAGAACAGATTTTCATTTACCCTTAGAGGAATAGATGAACCTGAACAAACTTCACTTCAGCTCTGGATTTGTACAAAACCAAGTCAAAAATGTATGTATGTATGTATATTTATATACTGTCTATCCTCCAAGATCTCAAGTAAATGTATATGGCTCTTTCCCTATATTTTATCTGTGTCATGGTTCCGACAGACAGAGATAAATAAAGCAGAACTCCGAGGCTTGCAAATTCCTCAAAGAACCTGTTTATTAGTTATAAAGTATCAGCTTGGTCAAGAGTGAAACCAAGTCTGGATACACAAGTAACAATTTTCCAATACAAAGTTAAATGTCCCACCCATAACAGTTATGCAAGCAATTACATTCCCCAATATGATTATTTGGTAGGCTTTTTAGGCAACGCCCAATCCCTAGTTGCAGGAGCAGCTGATGACCTTGGTTTCCACGGGACAAAAGATTATTTTGACTAACGAAGCACCTGGGCAACCCCCCTCTCTCCGTTCTATGTGGCAACCTAGAATGAGAAGGAAAATGGCTGCAGCCATACTCATTTGTAGAGTTGACAATCTGTATATCAGCTGTAAAATTGATCCAGCTGAGAGATAATAAATGACCTAACCAAATCCAAATAATTGTGCAGTCAGGTGAGATTTAAATTTCCAGTTCCCAAATTTTAATAGAATCTTTTATTTTAATACTTAGGCTTGAATTAAATACAGTAATTACAGTTTCTCATAGTTCAGACAAAACAGGAAGCCACAGGCAACTACTTTCTGTTCAAGTGAGGCTCATAATAAAAAGCAAAGGCACCAATTCTGCCTTGTTTATTAATACTATTATAATTCCACGTTTATCTATTTTAAAGATGTGGAAACACTCTTAATGGTTATGTAGGGGAACAGGGGCAATTGTTCTGTGTATATACACAAACACAGAGAGACACATGAAAGAATTGCATTTACTTTAAAAATGTATAAATCTATGATACTCTGCAATAATACAGTCAAAAGAAAAAATGTAGAGCAATCTATTATGGGACATAAGCCTATTAATTCAGCATATAGTCAACTAAAAGGACAAGAGTTCATTTCATGTTATTTTCAGGCCAACCATTCATTTAGTGAATGTTCAGATGACTTACTATTGGTCCTACTGAGTCTTGGAGAAGACTCTAGACTTCTCCAGAGTCCAGAAGTTCCTCTGCAGACTCTACAACCTATGTTAGGAAGTCAGAGGATGTGTAGGCAAAGCTACATAAAACATCACTTCCTGGCTTTAATTCATGTTATATTTTTGGGGAATGACACTTTTGGGTGGCTCTAAAAATAATGTGAATCTGGACTCCCAACAATAAAGAAATAAATACTCACATTTCCCGTCTAAGGTTTTGCATACCTGTCTATGTATGAACACTACTGATCCCAATAGTCTCCAGGTGCCACCCTGCCGATCGACATGAAGCATGCGCAGAATTTGCAGAAACCGGATGCCTCTGGGGGGGGGATTGTTTATTCAAAGAAAATGAAAGGAAACAAATTAAAATGAAGTTTTGAAATAGTAGTCTGTTTATGGAAAGGAAAAAAGACAGGGAATAATATATGTTCACAACTGTACAGGTGGTTCTCACCTAACGAGCATTAGTGTCATTCGAAGTTATGAAAAAAGCACTGAAAAAAGTGATTTACAACTCCTGCGGCATCCCTGTATTCATGTAACTGCGATCTGGGTATTTGACAACTGGTTTTCCCAAAGATGCTTTTTTACGAGGCAGCTGGACTTTGTTTTTCTCTGAAGATGTTTTGCTAGAAGCTGAAGAAGCTTCTTGGATGAGGAACGAAACGTCTTCAGAGAAAAACAAGAAAGTCCAGCTGCCTCGTGAAAAAGCATCTTTGGGACAACTATGACCTGGATGACTGAGAATCGCCACAGACATTGACAACTGGTTTGCACTTATGACAGTTGCAGTGTCCTACATTTATGTAATCACTACAGTATTTGTGATCTTCCCAGCTGGCTTCTGACAAGCAAAGTCAATAGGGAAGCCAGCAAGAGGTCACAGGTTCATGTGACGTTTTGCTTAATGACTGCGGGTGATTAGCTTAATGATCATGGCAAAATAGATCATAAAATTAATCATCATCATCATCATCATCCTGCAACGATATCTGTAATAACATCAAGCATCCACATCTGCCTATCCCAGGTCCTTGGGAAGGACTCGATAAGTAGACAAAATGCCAAATCCAGTCTGAATATCTGGCTGACTGTGCGATGATTAATAATAATAATAATAATAATAATAATAAAGTTGGAAGGGACCTTGGAGATCACCTAGTCTAACCCCCTGCTCAGGTAGGAAACCCTATACCATTTCGGACAAATGGCTGTCCAATCTCTTCTTAAAAACTTCCAGTGTTGGAGCATTCACCACTTCTGGAGGCAGGTTGTTCCACTGGTAATTGTTCTAACTGTCAGGAAGTTTCTCCTTAGTTCTAGGTTGCTTCTCTTCTTGATTAGTTTTCATCCATTGCTTCTTGTCCTGCCTTCAGGTGCTTTGGAGAATAGCTTGACCCCCTCTTCTTTGTGGCAGCCCCTGAGATATTGGAACACTGCTATCATGTCACCTTTCTCTTTGTTAAACTAGACATACCCAATTCCAGTAACCGTTCCTTATATGTTTTAGCCTCCAGTCCCCTGATCATCTTTGTTGCTCTTCTCTATACTCTTTCTAGAGTCTCAACATCTTTTTTACATCGTGGTTGTAGTCAGGTGATGCTTCATTTAATGAACATGCCACTTAAGAATGAATCTTCCAGGCCCTATTGTGGTCTCAAGTTGAGGATTACCCATATAAAATTGCAGTTAACATATTTACCTGATAGCTGAGGTTGCAAAAACTTGACCTTTTGAACCAACACATAGTACAATCATGGAGGCAACAACTACAATAAGATCTGGAAATTAAAAGCATATAAGCAAATAAATGTAGGTTAGAAAGTTTATGTGCCTTGCACATATTTAGATTTTATGCTAAAATATTGTACTTCTGTTTGGATGGTGTGCATTCATTTCCTCTTGAAAATTAATATTTGATTATACAAATCAATCAAATTATATAAATGCTATTTTCCTTTTGCTTTGCTTTTATTTTTATAAAGACTTCATGCACTTATTTGCTGAGATATAGAGGATCTTCATTTTTTTAAAATATAATTTTAAATTTCATTATTTTAAAAAATAAATATACAAAACAAAAAAAGAAGAAATAAGAAAAGGCATAGAGGATGGAAAACAATATATTAGTAAATACACAGAATTCTTAGTTATCATAAAATTTAAAACCTTTATTTCAATGATTAAATAATTAATTGAAAATATAAGACAACTCATTTGTCATCTTGAGAACTAATTATAAATCACTTCAAAACTCCAACTTTAGTATTTATATTGATATCACCATTATTCATCATTATCTTAAAAATGCACATGAATTTATAAAAAGGAAAAAAAAGAAAACTACTAAAAAGAGTAAGTAAAAACAATATTATGTTGTAGAATTCCTGGTGATTACATCAAATTATATATAAATATAATAATTGCTTCTGGTTACTGTCTTTATGTCAGATATTTCCCTCATAAAAATGGTAATTGAAGTATCTGAGTTTGACTTGTGTGGCATGTAATATAAATGGAGATCATGTTTGCTTAAATTTAGTAAAGCATGTACAATATTACAAATGTATACGGTTAATTTGCCATAGCTGTGTATGCTCCAAGTTTGATTTCCCACTCTTACACTGACGATAAATTATCGCTTTTCCAAACTTGGGCCAAATCTGTTCTTGTGATTATCAGCCTATATCCTAATAGAATGTGTGTCAACACTGCTAACATCGGATGTTCTTGCTTGACAACAGATGGCATTGCAGCCATTTTCCTATATTGCTTTTAGAGTTTGTTGGTACTGGGAGGGGGGAATGTGGATAAGAGTCCAGCTAGTCATAACAATAATAACTCAGTCGTGGGAACCCAAGGTCATTGGGCCCAGAGATGATAGAGTTTTGGCAAGCTGGAGAGCTGGGGAGAAGGCCCACGCTTCAAGCTAATTGGGGAAAGTGATTAATGACTGTTTATTGGAGGAGGGAATAGTGCTTTGTTACTTTGTGTCCAGGGGAGGGGAATTTAGTTTTTGGTTTCGGCTATGTAGTGCCGATACTTCGTTTCTTGAATAAAAGATTCTTTAAGGTAAACAATGCCTCGAAGTTCTTTTGAAGAGTTTCATCTGTCAGAACCATGACAATGTGATTTTTTTTTTTAAAAAATGTATTTCTTCTGAAAAGATTCCTGTAAAAACAACGCTGGAGTTTCAAGATAATATTTGTTTTTAAAGTTTTTTAGTAAGGCGGTGTATTAATTTCCAGTATCTTTTGAATTTTTACTTGGCCTCTACATATATTTATTCTATATCACAATGTTGATTATTAACATGATTTATTTATTTTTACAATTATGGACAGAGTTATATACCATCTGTAAAATGTTTTGTACCAATTATCTCTTCCTCATATATTTTCTTGAGAACATTTATTACTTAATCATGCAACACTGGTGGAGCAAGGATGAATTCTTTGAAAAAAATAATGAAGATAGGAATGCCCTTTCATCAATGTGTCAAGTAAAGCAAAGCAAAGAAAGAACCACCTCCAAAAGATGAAGCGATTTAATCTTCCCACCTGTGTGTGTGTGTGTGTATATGTATATGTATTGCTCCAGAAGCACGAAGCCAAAAACACCAGCCTGAAGATGACGAATGAGACTTTGTCGAAATGTCACCAAGACACTTCCAATTTGACATGGGAGAAAACCCGAATAACCAAAGACCTACATACAAACACCCGTGAAAACCTCAGAATATATATATATATATATATGTATGTATGTATGTATGTATGTATGTATGTATGTATGTATGTATGTATATATGTGTGTATATGTGTGCCATCATCGTCAGGGTATAAACCAGCTAGTGGGGAAACTTGCTTATAAATGTAGCTGTGCCCGCATTCGGGTCATGGACGTCATGACGGGTCCCAGCTGACTGATTCTTGCCTCATTTACAACATCTGATGATTCCTCCTTGTATCCTTTATTTACATTACTACCCTCCTCCCTATTCCCTTTTGTTCTTAAATCAGGGGAGGAACGTCCTGTATTTCCCCAAGTTAGAGTGTCCTTCACATTACTAGATCGATTCTTCTTCCTGTGCTCTTCGGGGTATTTTTCTCTTCCACCCCTCCGGCACGCATCATAATCACTGGTTCTATCATTTCATTAATATAGGGATGAGTAATCTTTTTAAATTCTATCATTTCTCTTTTTATTGGGCTATCAGGAACTATACTGTGAAGTTTTTTATGACTAGAATAAAATGGTTGGAACCAGATCAAAAACTGAATTTGATTTGATATTTTCCTGCCACATTAAAAACCACAATTTAATTAAATCCCCGGAAAGTTTTGAGCACCTTATCCAAGATTTTATAGTTAACTGGTTGTAGAACTACCCTAGCAAAAAAGAATGGAAAGGATAATGGCAGCACCCACTCTCCTTGACTGATTGCCCACAACCAGTGTTCCTAACTTCAGCGACTCAACCAGCCTTCATTAGAATAATTTTATATCATGATCGTACATCAAATCTATACTTGTGATTAGTCTGTAATTCAAAACAGAGACAATCAGCTTTTCTTGGATAATGCAGTGCAATATTTTCTGTTTTCTAATTTAAAATAAATCATACTATACAAAACCACACATACTCACCAATGATAGAAATGGGTTTTCTAGCAAAACGAAGCCTTCCCCAGAAACCAACATATTTACTGCGGCATCCTGAAGACCACAACCGAACCACATACTCAGTTCCAAAAAATACCACTAATACAATTTCCTAGAAGAAATAGATAGGGAGCCTGATTAATTTAATATGCTATTAATGGTTTTCTTTTTAAAAATATATTTTATTGATTTTTAAACCTAGACACCTTAATATTTGGTAAACAGTTTGTTGTCTAAGTTTATATTTGAAAACAATCAATAACAGTTAATTTCTGTAATTCCATAATCCACATAGTAGCTTTCTTTGATTTTCCCTTCTTCCAATAATATTCTCTTTTACCAACCTTAAATTAGTACATTTCTTAGTATTTTGATAGATAACAATTGAATATAAACATTTTTCTAATATTTAATAACCACATCAATATAAAGCTTCTTTTCTAAATAATCATCTTAATTACCTTGTCATAGATCCTGTTTTCAAAGTTCTTATTTAGATTGGTTTTCCCCACAATGTTCAAAACATTCTTAGCAGTTAAGATTTTCTCAGAGTTAATTACACTTAAATAGTTAAGTCTTTTTCCTCAAACAAGCCATCCCAACAATTGTACATTTCTCATATCTTTAAAAAACAAAACAAAAAAAGAAGAAAAGAAAAAAGGAAGGAAATAGTATATTACTTGAGAAACATGTCCTGCTTAGCTAAGATACATTTACATCCAGAATTTTTCTATTCTTTTTAACTGTACTCAAACAAATGTTTAAACTTTAAATATTCCATCTACTAAATCCAATCATCTAATCTTTTGAATCTATTCAGAACATTTTTATCAATTGAGATTTTCTCAAGATCAATTACACTTAGGTATTTAAGGCATTTCCCTCATATAAACCATCCCAACATCTTTATATTTCTCATATCATAAAAATAAAAATAATAATAAAATACTATGTTACTTGAGGGGCCCATCCCTCTTAAACTAAAATACATTTATATCCAATTTTTTTCTGTTTTTTAACCATATTCAAACAAGTGTTTAATGTTTAGATATTCCATCTGATAAATCCCATCATCTAATTTCTTAATTCTAACTTTAGCCCTTTTTTTTTGCCAAATATCTTTCCTAATTAGTATGCTCCGCTGGGCCAAAATGTCTTCTCATAGTCTTGTGGATGTTGTTGTAGGTATAGGGGACAAATCTAGTAAGATGTTTTTGTGGAAGGGGTCCGCCCCTTCGTATTCATTGAAGATCTTTTTCTTTCTTTCTCTCTTAATTTCTCTTATCATTTTTTGTCTCTCAAGTTCTCGTAGTTCTCCTGACAGTGCTCTAATCCATTTTGTCAAATGTTTTTTCTTGTCCTCAGACTTATTTTGCAATCTTGAAGTATAGGTTATTTTTTCCATGTCTGATATTTCCTGGAAGTTTTTCTCTGCCTGGTTTAAGTCATAATTCCTTCCATTGTTGGGTTCCATCTTTAAATCTCTTTCCTCTGGTTCATGTTCCATTATCTGCTTTATCTGATCGCTCTCTATTTTTATTTTCTGAGAGGTTTTTTTGTTGTAAGATTAAATTGAAAATGTGTTCATTTATATTTTCAAAGTTGTTTTTAATTTCTTTGTGGTTTGAAATCATTGCCATTTGAATCAATTGCAACATAGCATACATTTCCTCCTGGAAAGTATTTGTTTTTTCTTGATATGTTCTTTCTGCAGATCTCTGATGTTCCACAATAGCCAAAAGTCAAAGTTTTCCTTTCTCTGCAAACAGTTTTAGAGTCACAGTTCAATAAGTATTTATAATCCAGGAAGGTTCATTTTTTTTAAGGTTTATAGTTCTCTCCTTGTAGGTAGCCCAAAATATTTTCTTTTCTTTGTTACAGCTGTTCTCTGTTTAGTTAAGACATTGAAGGTCACAAAAACAAGTTATCTTTTTCTGGACTTTTTGCCAATTCCTATATTAGAGCAACTGTAGTTGTATATTTTCATCCACCACTAGATGTCAGCACCAGTTTGTTTTTTCAGTTTTCAAAACAAACAATTGTTTTCTTCTGTCTTCATCAATAATTTTTTGAAACAAAAATCTTAACAAATTCCACCAATTTCAAATTGATCCAGATGTAAGTCTTATATTCATTTCAATATATTTCTGTCACTCATAAAAGTTTAATTCGCTGCTTCCTTCTGTGGGAGGGTGGGGCAAGAACCCCCCTCCTTCTCCCTTTTGGAGGATTTTTGCTTCTTGGGTTTTCCCCCCCAGGAAATCAAATTATCAAGCAGAAGAGAGAGAATCGATATTCTTACCCAGTTCCAGACACGTTGTTTACGATCAGGCTTGAATTAGTACTTTTTGGCTTCGGCTGCTTGTAGCCTGGGCTAGACTCTGGAGTGAAGCTAGCTTTTCTTCTGCTGGTTTCTGGAGGGCTTTCCCCAAATGACTGGATCGACCGCCATCTCTCTGCGATCGGCGGGGCTCCCCTCCTTCTTTGCTGCCTCTCTGGGGTGACTTTAGGCCCATTTAGGATCCCCTAACAGAAATAAATTGGCCATAGGGTGTTGGACCCTGTGATCCCTTGGCTGCTGTACTACTGCACAAAACCAAAAGCTACCTTTTAATGATTTTCACATGCTATTTGAAGAAAATGAAACATCAGGTCTAGGAGTCATACAATAAATTGTAACAATCATCTACCAATATGGTGCCCCTCCTGATTGGAAATTCTGATAGCTGTAGCCCCCACTCATTTAAAGAATAATAATTGCAGAATGATAATCTTCAACAACAATCAAGAACACAATTAAAAATTAAAACTAAGTATTGTATTTTAGTCACATTTGATCACCATATCTTACATATGGATATCTTACATATGCCTGAAAAAGTTGAAAAGGCTTCTACATTAAAGGATAACATGGATATCTTACATTTCCTGCCTGAGCAGGGGGTTGGACTAGATGACCTCCAAGGTCCCTTCCAACTTTATCATTATTATTATATGCCTGAAAAAGTTAAAAAGGCTTCTACATTAAAGGATAATTATGCATGAAAAGTCCAAAATTAACCAAGTATCTCAGAATACTTGGAGGTAGAACTATACCTTAAATTTCAATTTTTAAAGTCATATTGGAAAAGTAGCTACAAATGCAACAACAAGAAACTACAGTTTTATATACCAGTTTTTCAAATTCTTGGAAAACTTTGTAAAAACTAAAGCTTCTAGTAGAAATAATGCCAAAAAGAATAAGCAAAATTTTAATAGAGTAATATAATAGATTCTGTTTTCTTCTATTACATTCATGTTTTTATTTAGTAAAATATTTATCAGTGAATTGTTGTATAAACTTGTATGTAGATACCTGGAACCACTACTAGCACTGTAACTAAATTTAGCTTTAAAATGTGTCCTTTTTTCTATATATGTGGAAATGTAGGTTCCACACTGCCCTGCATGAAAATACCTAGTATGCAGATAAAGAAGCCATCTGGTCATGTCTTCCAAAAGAAATAACATCAGAATGTTTATACATAAATTATACTATAGTTCCTCTGCAAAAGAAACTTTTCTTCGAACTAAGAAAATGTATGACAACTATAATTAATTGACTCTGAGACTAGGTATAGTGAACCAAAACTTCCTATATGCAAATTAGACTTTAATATTGTAAGCAGGGTAGGAAAATAGAAAAAAGCAAGGGGATAAATTATGGGTGCCTTTAGAGTCACAATGCGTGGGTTTGTGGAATAAGGGAATAGCATGCAGGAAATTTGCATAAGAGCTGTGAGTTTTTAAAGACCCTCCATGGTTTGCTGGATAACAGGAACGCTGACAAATATGCAAATCTGGGCTGCTCTAGAGACAATGGAACAGACATACAGTCAATGGTTACTGTCATCCAGTTCTTGGCATGACATGCAGAAGCTTAGAGAACATTGATTGTTCTATAAACTCCTGCAAGTGGAAAGAAGGACCAGTCAGCTTACACCAACACACATTTTTCACTCCTGACATTTTGATAAAGGCATATTGACCTAAATGAGACCCATGTTTTTCTGGAAACATCAGAGGTGAAAGGGCACAAGCTGTTCTTCATGGTCATACACAAAAATGCCAGGTAACTATTAGCAACTGGCAAATTCCCCTCCCCAACCCTTGGCTTGGTGACACACAAGTGGTTTTTTTTTTAAATATCTTCCTTTGTATAAGCCCAATAAATCCACTGCAGGAGGAGGAGGCTGATTGATATTTGTTGCTATATTTAGAGACAGCTGTCAGAATAGCCCGCTTAAAAGCTGTTTACATTTACAATAAAATGTGATAATCATTAGAAAGGTAAATAAATAATTCTTCATGAACTACTTCAGTATACCCTGCATACCATTCCTCAATAAACTGGAATTTCAGTAGTTTCAGTACGAAAAAGGCAAACATAACAACAACAACATCAACAACAACTGCAACAACTTGTATGCTTCCCAACTCTCAATGAATCTTGATGGCTCAAATAATAATGAATCAAATAAATTACAACCAAATCAATAAAACATAAAGGATAAAAAGAAAAGATGGCAAATATGATGAAGTGAGAGATCTTATTCTCCCTCACCAAAGGCCTGGGGGAAGAGCCCCCAAGAAGGTGCACTTCCAATAGATGACATTGTTTGACCTTCAACTCTGTTATTCTATGTTCTGTGTTCTACATTTGTTAGATTAGATTGAGGCTGGAATTGTAAGCATGCAGTAGTGGCCAAAATTGTGGAAACCTTTTGGGAAAAGTGTACAATAGAAATGCCACCTTTGGTTAAGTTTCCACCAATTTTTCTTTTAATTTCTTTATAACTGTAGCCTTGTTCACTTAATGATACTATTTTACATCGCTTTCTGGGCAACCAGTCAACTCTTTGCACCATTACTTTAATTTTATTATGTTTTACAAGCTCACTAAATGTAAGAACACAAAAAACCCAACCAACCTGATAGCGATCACATAACACACTGACAAATGTCGTCCTCTCAGCTTCAATACATGACATCACTAACTAATCCTACTGTGATCTGATTGGCTCATTGCCAAAACAAGATGACACCTGATTGGCTCTCTAAACACTCATGCTC